AGTCAGCAAGTTGAACATTTTAAGTTGACTTTAAATATGCTAAAAATAGCTGAAACTACTTGGCTAACTTAAATAGATTTTCTTTGTGGATATATAATTCTGTTAATAATAAACAAATATTTTTAAATTAAATTTTGTAAAATTGATTATTTAGAAATTAAAAAATTGTTAAAAAACAAAAAAAAATAATTTTTGCCCTGACTGTGGTTTGAACTTGCTGCTGCTTGCTCAGTTTTCATGGAATTATAAAATCAAAATTTTTAAAATATATTGCACAAATCATGTTTATCGATTCAATGTAAATGAAATGCTTTCGGCAAATAAAGTAATATTTTGCAATATTTACATTAAAATTCGCCGTAATAACTATAGCTCAACTGCAGCGTAAATATGATTATTTGCTACCAATTGTTGTTATGTTTGAGGGGGTAAGCGAAATCAAATTGACATATTTTGTCAATAAATTCCAAATTTTAATTAATTTTCGCGCGCCACTTAAAAGGCAGCAGCATCGTTACTGCAGTGCACAAACAGCGACACACCCAATGCCCATTTCAAATGGGAAAATGTTCAGAGACCGCAAACACTAAATTGCAAATAAATTTGTTTAAATATGCAATGGTAAAGCGTCAAGTGTGTGTGTGTGTGTGTGTGTGTGTGAATGCCACCTGCTAGGAGGGGATGCTGCGGTGCCTGCCTGCCTGCAGCAAGAGACATGAGACAAGAGACAACGTGCGCATCAAATTTTAATAGGAAAACCCCAAAAAGTTCAAGCCACAAAGTCCATTTCCATGGCGCCCCTTCACAGCTCGTAGAGTAACCCCTCCCATCCATCCCCTAGGCACTGTTACTGTTGCAATCCCGTTGCCCTCGACATGCCTGATGTACGTTTCTGGTTTCGGCCACCAAGATGTTGCATTGACATTGAATATTGATGAAAATAAATCGAATTTCCGCCAGGCAGCAGAATTTTCCATGGGCAAAGCCGGACGATACGATGGATCTGCCTGCCCAGCAGCAGCAGCAGCAAAAAAAGCCGAAAACAAAAAAAAACTGTACAATATCTCCATATGTAGAGCTCCGTGTCTGTTTATATTGATTGCCAAATGGTTTGAGCCGGCAAAAAGGGTTCCGGCTGAATACATCTATCTGTTTGAGTGTCAAAATCCCACGATGTGTGTGTTGAATGTATATACGCACGTGTGTGTGTGTGTGTAGCATTACGGGACATTTGCGGTTTTAGAGATTCAAACTTTTGCTAGAAGACAAATGAATGACATTCAATATGGCTATAAAGCAGGAACGTGTTAAAGCGATAACAACGCAGAGTGAGTGGAATATTTGAAAATTATATTTAGAGCGCTCTGAGAAATTACTATATCTTATCATATATTTATATAAAAGATATGACTACTTTCTTTGTGGAGCAATGTTTGAATAAGGTAAAGCAATAAAAATCTTTTTCACTGAATTCATATAAAGATATTTTCTAAAATATTTTCAACATTCTTTATTTAATTAAGCTTTTTTTTTGCATTAAGCCATTTAGGAACTTACATTTATAAGAGATTAAAATAAAAAATAATAATAATTTACATTATTTAGCTATAAAATTGTGATATAAAACATTTTTTTGAGAGTTTAAGCTTTTCTTATTTTCCAAGCAACTAAATGAATAATTATATTTTTTATGTAGTTATTTTTTGTTTATTTTTTTTTAAATAATAAAATAAAAAATCAATTATAGTTATGTTAGAAAATTCATATAAAAATTTTTAATATATTATTTATTATATATATAAAAATTATATAAAAATGTATAATATATTATTTATATATATTATAAATTTTTATATAAATATAATTTATTTTTTATATAAAATTTATATATTCATATAAAACACACAGACTAATCCTATTACCATTAGCTTCTTCATCATCCTCTCAGATTAGATACTATTATATTAAATCATATCTTCCATGTGATATTGGTAATCAATGTGCAATCAGTTTAAAGCGAAGACTCATAAGCCCCGCTCCAAGTGCCTGCCTCATACATCATTTTTGGATAAGATTTTAAACCGTTGCGCAAACAGCTCTGCTGCCCCTCGTGGCCGTTCGGTCGCCCTCAAATGCAGAAAATTGGCTTTTGATGTGAGGCTGGGGCATAAAGCGCCGCAGTTAACACTTGATTTGTATTTAAAAATTATTGACCAATTCATGGCTGCTGATTAAGTTTGTGTTTGTGCTTGTCAAGCGGTCAGGTGCAGGAGTGGGGGCGTGGCCTGGGCGAGGCAGCGCGTGTTTGTTTCAACATTGGCAACCGATTGATTTTTGCAGCCACAAGGCTATGGCCACGGCCAGGGGAAATTGCATAAACGCCACACACAACCTCGACTCGGGCCCATATGAAAATCCAATTTTCCAGTGATTGATCATACAAAGGGAGAGAAAGAGAGAGAGAGAGTGCGCGAAAGGCATGTGAAAAGACAGAGAGATGGAGAGAGAGAGAGAGAAGGAATCAGCTAGGGACAGAGCGTTCGTTGTGGTTGGAGGTAGTTAACCACACACACGCACACACCAGCACACACACACACAGACGTGTGTGGCTACATGTCAAGTTGGTTTGTCTGCTGGACCATACGCAAAAATAATGTAATTAAAGCAATGTTTGCATAATAAAAATTAATATTTGTTGCATTTTGTGACGTACACACACACGCACACCCACTAAAAGTCCGGCCATTGCATTTATAACCTCGCTCCTCTATCTGCTTAACTCCTTTACCTGTTTACCTAGGCGGCGGCGGTGGCAGAGACGTCGGCGGCGGCGTTGTCTGCCCAGCGCTTTATGCGGGCTGTCAAATTCAGACAGTTTGCACACATGATGTACAATCCGCCTCGTTACCCTTTCCTAAAATCCCTTGTGGCGTTAAATTCCCCCTGCAAAATCCAGAGATTTGGACTCTATTGCAGCTGCTGTTGCTGCTGTCGCTCCTGTTGCTGCTGCTGCTGCTGCTCCTTCTGCTGTTCAGCCCGTCTGTTTGTTCAAGTTTCGTTTCAGCAAATTATGTTCGAGCATATGGAGGGGATTTACATTGGGCCAGCAACTGTTAACAAACACTGGACAACACTCACAACACTGCTACCAGCTCACTTCGGAGTTGTTGTTGTCTGTGTTGATTGTCTGGGCTGTTGCATTCGACGTATGCAAATATTGAAATAAGTCTTAATTGAATACAAATACTCAATTACATTGCGGCACATCTATTTTGTGGGCCCGGCACAAACAGTTTCTCTCACACGCACAAAAGTAACTCTTCTTCTTGGCAGTTTTGGCAATTGTTCCACATTTTTGCTTTATAATTTCAATTTTGTTTATGGTCATAAGTGTCGTCGTCGTCGTTGTCGTCTCCCCCTTTTCAATCAGCTAACAGAATGGTTATGGTAATGTATTTTGGAAGGCTGTGCGTGTGTTTGGTAAAAGGGTTAAGGATTAGTCTGTCATATTATGTATGCGGGCTTGTATGCTAGACTGTTGGCTGGTGGTCAGGCAATTATTTTCAAAAGCTAGGACGGCAGGTTATAGACTTTGTTTAGGTTACCTACATGCTGGCTACATTTAAGAGAATTAATATTTGTTTAATATGTTACTCAAGTAATATATGGCTTAAATATTAAAAGTATTACTTAATTTTAATCTATATACTATTTTATACATTTGTTATTATATTCTGGTTCTTTTCATTTATTTTAATGTACATTTTAAATATTTTTTACTATAACAAATAAATATATTTATTTTACAATATTTCAATTAATTTGTTTTTAAATTGTGTAGAAAAAAATTTTTAAAACACCACAATAAAAAATAAAAAAAATTGTATGTGGCCCATGGGGGGATCGAACCCGCGACCTTCGCGTTATTAGCACGACGCTCTAACCAGCTGAGCTAATGGGCCGATGTGAAGTGCTCTAGCTCAGACTGCTACACGAAATGAATGTACAATGAAATATATTTCAATGAAATACATTTTGTTGGCGATATATTATAAACTATAATTACCTCTCTGTCTGCTTTAATGAGATAAGATTATTTTTAATTTATTTTATTGCTCATATATTTATATTTAGTGGACATTTTTGTTGCTGTGTGATTTCAAGGCGCCAGTTTTGCTTTTAGCAAAGCAGAATTGACTGCTCTCTTGTTACTAAAAATTTCATATATATATAATACATTGCATATGTCTGCAAAATGTTAATAGAATCTATTAAATTTATTATCCAATTTCACATAAATATATAAAAAAATATATATTATAAATATAAGTATGCATAAAATTCAAAATATTTATATATATTAAAAAAATGATCTATATAAACTTTCATAGGGAATAGCTTTATAAAAATAGTGTATTCTTAGTTTAACTTAATTTTGGATTCACATTAAACTCGTGTCGTTTGCCACAAACAGTTTTCAGTGTATTTTGATAAGAGTCCTTGGGGAGTACAAGGACTTAATACTTCATCAGCCATTGTTCTGTAGCATGACATGCATCTTGAAGCGATGCTCCGAACCGAAACACAAACCCAAACCAAGTAACACGCATTTGACACTTCATTAAAAAGCAACATTACCAAAATCAATTAGAGTCTAGTCCCCTAAGCTCAGAACATAACCAGCAAAAGCAAATAGAGATGGATGGACAGAGCTGTAGACGGATATATAGATAGACACAGATAGAGTTGCACAGTATCTTTGTTGCTTTTGGCTAGCAAATATCAACAAACAATTGAGCATATACGAGCTGCTTCCCATTGTATTTGTTGTTGGCTCACCCAACTCTGGCGCTGATTCACAAACTGTTTGAGAACCTGGCGCGAGAGAGAGAGAGAGAGAGAGAGAGAGTCGAGACTGTTTGCATATTGAATTGCCGGTACCGATATTTGCACTGGTAAATCGCCAGACAGCAAGCGACATTAGTTAAAATCGCAAAAAATCAATTAAAAACATTTATTCATAACATTTCATCAGATATTCGTTCACTTAAAAACAATCACTTTTTCAGGAAAATGCAGCCAGGTGCACCCTTGATGACAGTCGACAACCAATTTCTTATGAGATCGGAGGTTTGGAGACCCTCAAGACGATTCAGCTCTTCACCATTATGCATGACCAGTATCGACGGTACCTTTTTCACGTTGTAGAAGAGGGCCAGGTCTGTTAGCTCATCGACATCAACACGTGCCATCTCCATATTGCCCTTCTGCTCTGATATAATATTTTTAAGGCGAGGCGCGAGGGCTTTACATGGAGAACACCAACTGAATGAGATTCGATTAAAATAGTTTATCGATAGCTAGTATGGATAACGTCATCAAACTAACCTTGCATAAAAATTCACTAAAACGGGTCTTGATGCACGCTTAACTCTATCTTCAAATTCTTGAACATTTGAAACGTCGAATACAACTCGGCAAGGCGTAGTTTTACGAGAATTTAATAAATTTTTCAATATTTTGATTTTTACGGCATTCTTGTTTAAAGACATTTTTTTTTGTAATTTTAACAATTTACAATTTTTTTGTTTACTGTGAGCTAAAATTATTTCCAATGTTTAATGTAAAGTGGGAAACAAAACAATGTATATTTGAGCCGTAAATATTAAACCATATGTGAAGGACACGCCTACTTAGATTAAAAATTCTGTTCAAGTAGTCAAGTAGCATGATTAGGAACACGCTCAAAGATTTATTTGAAACTTAAATTAATGTTGCAGATCTAAGCCCAAGCTCGATTCTTATAGAAGCATTGATAGATCTGAAAGCCCGTCTCACATTTATTCGCACCCCTGACCGAATCACAAGTGGCGAGAGCGGCCTTCACTTGATCCACTCCGGCAGCGGGTGCCAGCTTTTGCAGTACCGCCTCTCCGTTGATCTGGCCATCGACTATAAACCCAGCCTTCTCCAAAAAGCAATTGGCATAGCACTTGACCTTATCGTCAGCATCTTCGAAGTTTCCATTGCGCAGCGCAAATGCCTGCTCCTTGGTGTTGCCTTCCTGCTGCGTGCAAAGCATGGCATTTGCCCGAATCGTGGACTTTTGCTCATCAGTTAACTATTAAGTAAGATGATAGGTTTATATTTTATATAAAATATAATATAGTTAAGCATTTTATAGTATGTTTCTTTACTCACATCAGCTGCCAAGGACAGCGTTAGGTAGCCCAGCAAAACTATTAACAATTTCATTTTTGAGTTGTGATAAATATATAAAAATAAATATATAAATATATAAGTGTACTATATGTATAGTTTATAAATATTTAGTTATTTTATAGACTATTTTCGCAGGCCTTTTGTACAGCTTCTGCCAACTGGTTTCGATCTGCAATGCGCTTTTATACGATTTTTGCATCGAGTTTTCGATTTTATTTTTGCAGTTGAATAAACTTTAATGCACTTATTTAATATTATGTTTTCAGCAATATAATTTCAAGAATTATGATGGTTTTAGGGCTTTTTTTCAGTATTATTTTCTGAAGATAATGAAATTTGTATAAAATGAATTTTAATTTATTTAAGAGTTTTTTTCATACTATTTAAAATGATTAAGAAGAGTATAATACTTTCAGACATATCTATATCAGCAACGGACATAAGCAAGCATTGAGGACAATTTATATACTTTGCTTATACTTCCGTAAGTGCAAATGTCACCTTTGGCTCGAAAAGTCCAAACACTGGTTATTTATGGCTTAAAATATAATCCTCTCTCAGCCGATATTCCATGTGATTCTCTAAAGAACTATTGCCTATGGCAATCTGGGGTTATCAATGGCTAAAAAGACAGTTACTCTTCAGATATATATATAAATAGGTTCAATAATTATAAGGTTGTGCATTCTTTTCTCTTTTTATATATAAATGCCGTAGCGCATCTTTCAATTGTATAGACCCGTTAACTATAAATTTCTCTTGGTTTCTTGGCCAGCTTCCAGGCTAATTATGCGACCTACTTGCCAAAGCTTCAATGAGATTGCTTTAAATTTGTTTGCCTTGGTCAGCAGCTACTTATGTGCCACACACCCACACACCATATATATATATGTATATATATATATACTTATAGAAATATATTTGGGTCACATTAGATCACATGAGGCTGATAACATTAAGCAGGCACTTTCTTCATTTGGCCATGTTTACTTGCTCGAAAGGCAGCGGCAAATGAATGATGAGCTCTCTGTGTATGTGCGGGTGTTTGTGTGTGTGTTGTCTAAACATTTTTATGATTCAGGGTTAGAGATAGGATACAGTGCTGTCATTCAGCTAGGCTTTACATAATCTACAGCCTTTCAGCAATTAGTTTTTGTTTGTGTGAGCCACTGATGATAAGTAGCCAAGTTTTGCAAAGAGTTTACTTTTGGAGATGGATGGATGGATGGATGGTTGGATGGAAGGATGCTTGACTGACAGGCGTGCGAGCAAGTGGGTTAGGGTTGCCTGAGCAAAATCAAATTTAATGCAAATATCAGCAAAATATAACGAGCTTTAAATATATATATTATTATATAGACACGCAGCCCATTCAGCTTCACTCTATGAATATGAGCTAAAAATATTTGCATCCTGATAAGAAATTATTTTTTGTTATCATTTTCAAAGTGTTACGAAATTAAATGAGTTTTTCCACACACAATCATAAACCGTAAAATATATATATGTATTCGCTATAGTAGCTGCTAGCTAGAGGAAGAGGGGCGTGGCGCGGGATCTGCAAATGTAATTAAAAAACTTTCCAACCGCATCAACATAAATGTATGGCGCATAAAATGCTGTGCATTTGACAATTTTTGGTTGACATTTTCTCACTCTGCGTCTGTGTGTGTGGGCGTCACAGAAACCGCTAAAAAGTTGGGCGTGACGCATTGTATTTAGCCATTTTGCAGCTAAATTAAATGCTTGAAAAGTTATTATTGTTGTTCATAAATAAATGCTGGCTGGCTATTCATCGATGAGCGGGCGCTCATTTAATGTGTTAAATGCTTTTACGAGCCAACAAGCTCTTACCCTATATTCCTTTTTTTGGTGCACGGGGTATGCGCGGGGGGAGGGCGCGTACGCAATTTCATTTATTTTAATTGAAGCGAACGGCTTGCCCTTTCGGGCCATTGCTGTGGCTATAAAGTGTGTCCAAAAACCGTTAAACACTGTAAGCAGAGGTGAGTGACTGCTAGATACCCTGTAAAAAGCTGTATATGAAGAGGAATTTAGTTACAATAGTATGTATTTTGTTTAAGATCTGTACTAGGGTAGCAGAATGGAAAAGAAGTGTTTTATGGGCATAAGTTACGACTGCTAGATACCCTGTACAATTTATTTAATATTTTAAAATTAATTATAATGCGTATATCACGAAATTTCAAGTCATTATGTGTATAAGAAATCAGTGCAAGTATTCGAAAGATAAGGAAAAGACTATTAAATACCCTGTAGTAGTAACTTAAGTACAAAAAGAAACCTATTGATTAATTATAATTTTTATATAATGTAATATCTAACCAGAAAGTGGCCATAAACTCGCTGTGATTGAAGGGAAAGTATGCGACTGTTAGATACTCTGTAAAAGACTAGGCTTTTTGAAGATAATTTTACATATAGTGTCTTGCATATTCAAAGTAGATTTTAAATGCAAAATATGAATTTGCGCCTAAAAATAAAAATAAATAATTTAATCACATGAAACTCATAAATATGCTCTAATACATATATATTTCATTATATCTATGTATATCTATACGAACTTCTCTACAGTAAAACTGCCTTAAGCAAAAGTGCCTGGCAGTCAGATACACTGTACATACAATATTGTTATAATTTTTATTTAATCTATATATTATAACTAAGTGTATTATCTTATCTTATATTTGGTCATAAAATGTGCTCGGAAACACTAAAAAGTACTTGTCTTAGCGTTGAGTTATCGACTTGTAGGTGCTCTGTAAATGCATAAGATAATATAATTATATAATGCATTCAAACCCATTTCTCTTATTTAGCTCGAATTCAAACAACCCCATTAAATAATATATCTGTATCTACGTGTCTAATGAGTTTTACGTTATTTATGATCTTGAAATGGGCTTCTGTTTCTCTCATCTGTTTGCTACGAGCATTTACACAACGTAGGAATACCCCTTGCCCAACTACCCCGATAGCCAGAGAGTATTAAAAAACACATTTCAATTTAATTGCATTTAAATCGCAGGCCCAAACACGAACCCAAAAACACCTTAATAGGCCATTAAGGTGTGCACACCGCCCCCAAGCTGAGAAAAGGTTTAGTTGCAATATGTGCAGGCCATAAACATTAAAAGTTCGCATTTAACTTCAAATGATAGCCCATAAATTGTCTAAAGGTAAATTCAATCAATTATATTGAGACTCAATTGCCATATTGATAAAAAACCAGATTATATATAAAATTGCTGTTGCTGCTGAGTTGAATATATATATATATATATATATATATATATATATATATATATATATATATATATATATATATATATATATATATATATATATATATATATATAACATGTATCTCTAAACTTCTAAACTTGTACAGCAACAAAGTGGCGCCGGCATCTCAGTGCTCCAAGTTTTCCACTTACCCGCTAGCTCCATAATTTTCCATTAGCTTTATTATATACTCATTTGCGCAAATGTCTTATATCATTGTTATTAGTAAATCTTATGCCTATGATTATTGCTTTTCCATGTATGTGTGTGGTTGTGTGTGTGCCTGCGATAAGCTCCCTCAAAACAGCTTCATCAGAGACTTTTCCTTTGGGGATATGGCCAAAGGTTGTTGAACTCTGCCTCACGGTTTTTGGGGTCAGTTGGCGAACTGTGTGGATAGTTCGGATAGCCGCGAAATGGCATTGCGTATGTGTATTTAGGGGTTGGATGGAACTTCGGCTGAGTCTATCTGATAATTTTGATATATTTCTCTGAATATATCTTTAATAAAGTTCCTTATTGTTTCATAATATATACACTGAGATGGAGCAGGGCTTTTTAAGCTTGTTTATATAATATGGGACTTATACTAAATATTTTAGTACAGTATTTGATGAGTTGTTATACTAGCGAGATAAATATATATTATGTTATATCTAAAGAACATTAAAATTTAATTCATAATACTAGCGAGATAAATATATATTATATTATATCTAAAGAACATTTAAACTTAATTCATAATTTAAAAATTCTAAATCTAAATTATTATATCAAAGTTTTGGTATTTAAAAACCTCAAGCCTTTGTATAATATCATAATCTATCGACCTTTTATCGTACTTCAGGCATCATTGATAAAAATTTTAAACCAATTTTGGAAATTTAATTTTAATTGTTCTTCTATTTTTTCTTCAGTTAATCAAATGCTTTAAAGCTCAGGAAATTTATTAGAAAATCGCATTGGCACAAATTCAACTACAAATTCAAATTGCAAAAGCTTGAATAATAACAATTTAAACACAACTCCAACAAAGTTCAGATGCAAATGGAAAAGTTTCTTTTGCTTGCATATGTGTGTGTGTGTGTGTGTGTGTGTGTGTGTGTGTGTGTGTGTGTCTGTATGTCTGGCTGTGTGTGTTGTTCATTGCCATATCGTAGGTGAAGCTTGTTTTAATTAATTTAATGACTGATATTTGCATATTTTTGTGCAGCTTTCGTCAAATTAAAATACTCGTGACAAAAACTTAATGTACAGTGAGAACTCACGAGCTCGTCTGTTTGTTAAATAAATAATTTATCCATTTGTTGCACTTGCAAAAACAAGTGAAAAAGTTGAATGCTGCGAATATTGAGTGCTCTTCAGATTCTATAGTTAAACTAAATGTATAACAAAATAATTTTTATTTTTATTTAATATAAAACAATTTGTTCTTTAATTCTTATTGCATTGCAAATAGTAGCAGGACTAAGTACCCTTTAATTATAATTCGAAAGCTAAGAATAAAATAAATTTAAATAACTTTAGATTTCTAATTGATTATAATTTCCATAGCTCATATCACATGAACTTAATATATATATATCCTGAGCATTAAAAACGTATAACACCTTCAAGCATTAATTGTAGTGTATTAAAGTTGTATTGCCTCCTTTGACATTGAGTTAATTATATTAACGGCGCTCACAGAGCTCATAACATAAGCCAACAAATTAGTTTATAAT